CAAATAGGCTTGTCAAAAGTTTCTATTGAGTAGAAAAACTTTACCTGTCATGAAAGCTTTTGGATAGAATTATTAAGCGATGGAATAATTTTGCCAGGGACCTGATGGAAGCAAGTCACTTGGAATTTTTAAAACTAAATATTATAGTGTTCAGTACCTATTTATCATGTTTTGACAGAAAGGTTAGCTTCTCATTAATTAAACAGGTGGTTTTACCCATTTGCAAGAACAGTCGGGCAGGACTGTTTGGTAATTGTCAGTCAGTGGAGTGCCGTGGCTCATTTCAGATAAATAAAATGTCTTTGAAGGACTATCTTAATTCTTCTCCACCTGGATGCTTACTAATTTCTAGGAAAGCAAGCCTCTGTTCTCAGTCATGTGTTCTAGGGACTTAATTTAGTTTCTTAATCCATTTGAGGCTTTGGTGCTATCTAACTTGATTCCAAGCAAGCATGTTCATTTGCCATTTGTTTATTGGCCTTGAGCATATAGGGATGGTTTGGTTTAGTTTAGTGAACATAGTCAGTATGCCAGCAAAACTATAAAAATCTATTGGAATTCTGCATAGAGAATACAGAAATGGGCCTTAACTTAATGTAAACGGATGTGCTTGCTAGAAGTAGTATTACAAATGGGATTTATTTAGAGGAGGAAATATGCTGTATTTTTAAATTGTTAACCTAACTAAGCCTTCATGTTAAAAAATTGACCGCTGTAGAAATTCAGTGACATGCTAATAGGGTCTCAGAGGTCTCTTTAGAAACAAATCCCACCCCACAGCCTCTTTAAATTGCAGCATTTCTCAGATTGCCTTTTAATATATTAGAATATGGGTGGGACTGAGGTGGTAGTGTGGGTAGCCAGTTGCATGTTCTTGGAAATATGTAATAGTATTAATTTTTCTCTCCAATTGATTTTTTTTCCAGTGGAATGTCTCATTCCAGGATAATAATAAATATGTAGCCGTGAATGAAATGAAACAAGACAGGACTATGTAGCACTTTACAGACTAACAAGATGGTTTATTAGGTGATGAGCTTTCGTGGGCCAGATCTGAGGAAGGTGGGTCTGGCCCACGAAAGCTCATCACCTAATAAACCATCTTGTTAGTCTGTAAAGTGCTACATAGTCCTGTCTTGTTTCATTTCAGGATGTTTGCCTTTTAAAGATGCTATTCATTCTTTTTTAAACAATGTGGATGGATGAGATCAGTCCTCAGCTTAAAAATATTTAATGTAGAAAAGTGTTTTTCTCTAAGAGCTACTGATTTATATTCACTTAAGTGAACAATTCTGTATTGTTTATTGGTACTTGTGCTTTTAATCAGTTGCAAGTTTTGACTGTAATTGAAAGTATACCTGGGCTATTGCTCTTAAGTATTGTATCTTTTGTCCTTTCTGACTTCAGTAGAAATTAATTTTAAACAAGTATTATTCCATATGTTTTTCCCCTAAGTAGCTTGTTAAAATCATGGGTAGACTCATGACTTTTCAAAATGTTTTCAATTTCACTTTTGTCTAGTTTACCACTTACCACTGCATTATGCATGCAGGAGCACGTACAAACACCTGACAGTTTACAACACTTTAGCAGCTGCTCTGCTGCTATACCAATAGTTGGAAACATGGGAGCATTAATGTGGACTAGTGATAAGATTCCTTATTTTTCTGGGTTAGACAATCTGTTTGACCTACATTAGTGCTTCCCACTGTTATAACCACATGTGCTGTTGCATCTGCATTAGACAATGATGGGCAAAAAAGCTAATGGAAAAAAGCACTAGCAGTGACTGCAGTGAAGTTTGATTGTGAAGTGTTCCCAAACAGCAACAGTATAGTAATGAATAGTAAATAAAATTAAAATTATCTAATGGTGAACCTTCATGATCTTATTTTTAATATACTTTGCTTAAAGTATTGGAAAAGAGATGGAAAAGTTGCTGAGTACTAAAAGTATGGGTTTTACACTGATTATTTTTGTTGTGAAGAAATCACTGTTCTAGGCTACTATAGGGCTTATTTTTAAACACATTTTCTTATTTCTGAAGTTCTAAGGGGTGTGATGCTAGGTCGTCTTCTGCAAACCCCCGCCCCCCATAGCGCACAAGAGTTTTGATGCTGCTTCAAGGGGATTGGAAATACTCCACTAATTTTCTTTGTTTTGGATTCTCCTTTCTCCTGAATAACACCTCTGCCTGTCTTTGTTCATATCTTTCCCAGGCAGTAACAGTACAAAACTGATTCTTTACTACATCAGTGTTGATTCAGAATCCTGTATGCATAGCAATAATCTAAACAGACTTCTTAATTTCACTCTGTTGCTAAGAGAAGTTCTAAAGCACCAGGCCAGCAAGATTGGAGGCTGCAGTCATGTGTACTAGAAACTTTCATTTTAAATAAGAACTTAGTTTCTATAGGAACTGATACTAGATCACCACACTTGCCAAGGAAAGCTGCAACCTTGTCATGGAAGAGTGGATTTTTTAAAATGTTGCACTATAGATTATCATATACGCATAAAAAGGAATTTATGCTGAAGTCTTAAATTTCCTTATCTGTAAGGACAACTTCTCAGCAAACTGAGACTGTTTTACAGTAGGGATATAAATGACTAGTCTAATAGTGGGCTATCGATAAACAAATGGTTACCAGAAAGTCACACAGTAGTCAACTAGTTGTTTCCCCTCCCTTTGCTGTGTCTATCACAAAGAGGTAGCAAGGTGGAGAAGAGAAAGGGGTGCTTCAAAGCGGCAGTGTGGCATGGAACCTGGGCCAGACCCTGGGCTGCACACAGTGCTGCCACTTTGAAACACAGCATGCAGCCGGGGGCCAGCTGGGAAATCCCCAGGCTGCATGTAGTGTTTGGGGGTCAGCTGGGGAGTCCCCAGCTGATTCTGGGCTCCATGTGGCACTGCCGCTCTGAAACATCGTCAAGAACTTGGGGCCAGTAGGGGACTGCCCTGCTGGCCCCATACTCCCCACAGCGCTTTCCCCTTTGAAGTGTAGCAACAGCCCTGGGACTGTTGCTACATTTCAAAGGCGGAGGCGCCCTTATCGGCTAATCAAATAGTTGATGCAATTTGTTGATGCAAATCGTCGACTATTTGATTAATTGATTAATTGAAATTTAACATCCCTATTTTACAGTGGATTTTAATTCCATTTAATTCAACACCTTATCGCTAGGTAATTTAATCACTGTGGATGAGATTCCAGATAACAACTTTATGCTGATGACTGACAAATCTACCTTTCTATGGCAGACCTATTGTCTTCTGTCCGAACTGAAATCCTGTCTTTCTGACACCACCTCCAGAGATGTCTCACCGGCCCAGCTAAACATGGTTAAAACAGAGCGTTCAATTTTTTCCCCAAACTCTTCCTGTTAATCTATTTTCTTGATCACTGTGGATAACACCATCTACCTGTTGCTTAGACCAGGATAGTGTTCAATTCCGACTTCTTTGAAACCTCACATCAAGATTATGTCTATACCTATGCATATTTTTTTCTATGTAACATCTCTAAGATAAAACCTTCCTATCCATTCACACAGCTAAAACTGTCTTCCAAGTTCTTACCATCTTCTATCTTAATTACTGCAACATCGTTTTCTCTGACCCTTGTAAATAGTCTTGCTCTGGTCATGGCTATTAAGAATGCTATTTTTTCTGGTCTGTCACTTTGACTGTCATCCACTTTGTATTCCCTCCACTGACTTTCCCCTTCTCTCTTATGACAGATGGGATCTGCTTGTATTCACATTCAAGATCCTTCAGTCTATCCTCTACCTTATCTGTATCAGTAAAGTTGTGGATGATTACCTCTGTCCCATGATGTGAGCCTGTACTAGCTCTTGTTAAAATTTTCAAATATTTTTATGATTGCTCCCATGCTGCTGTCAAACTTCTGCAAAACTAATTTTCACCTTCCATTCTTTGTTCCTGTAATGCCTATACAAACTTAACACCTATCCATCTGTTTCTTCTTTTATACTTACATTGTAAGACTTTGGAGCAGGATTTTTGTATGTTCTGCATGTGTACAGTTCCACGGACTTCCAGGTGCTAAGATAATTCAAATAGGGATGTAAATATTGGTGAAAACATCTGATTAAACAACTAAAATTATACTGTTTAACTTGTTAACCATTGGTGGGCTGGGGTCCCACCTGCTAATAATGGTTGTGGGCAGAAGCCCCTCTAGCATGGCCAGGACTGTTCTGACCTGGTGCAGCTACCCTCCACTGGGGATTGGACAAGACCTAGTTAATCTTACCCCAGGGGTGGGGCCCCGGGGACCAGATGTGGCCCTCGGCTTGCCTGCATCAGGCCCCTGAGTCTCCGGGATCCCCCCCACTCCCAACATTGAGGAGCCCACACTGGCACTCCAGCCCCCTGCTGCCTTACGGCAGGGCGGGAACTCTCAAAATCTACTATTCTGATGTGCGAGGGGAATCTCTCTCTCCTTCTCAGGGGCCACATCAGTGAGAATGTTTTGGGGTTCTTTTGCTTCACTTCTGTGTGTGGCCTCTGGCTGATCTTTCTTCTGTGGGTCAGCAACTCTCAACCCCAGAAAGTTTCCACATGCCTATTTGGTTACCATTCTGATGAGCCTAATGTGTACTGGGTAACTGGTTAAACTTTTACATTTTAAATTCAAATAATAAAAGTACCTTGCTGTATTGAATCAGTAGAATAAATTATGCATCGTTCACCCATTTTTCTCCAGCCTCCAGTGAACAAAGCTAATTTTTTAAATGAGCTGTTAAGAGACTACGCAGCGTAGTTTATAGCTCACTTTTTCATTATTAGAGACATCAAGTAAGCACTAGTTGCATTAAATACTTGAGTGCTATCAAACTGGCAATCTTGTGCCTGCTGAATTTCTTATTAACATTAAGGAGTTATACTAACTATTTCTGTTGTAAGAAATGAGAGTAAATGTTGGTACCAGTATACAGAATAAGGTAAATATTTATTGAAAGTGCTTTCTTCCAAGCCCACCAATGGGATATGGATCAGCCCCTACCATGCCCACTGGAGAAGAAAATTCTGAATATGTTCGGACTCTCTATGATTTTCTTGGGAGTGATACTGAAGATCTGCCATTTAAAAAGGGTGAGATACTGGTAATTTTAGAGAAGCCTGAAGAACAGTGGTGGAGTGCCAGAAACAAGGATGGTCGAATTGGGATGATCCCTGTTCCTTATGTAGAGAAGATGGTCAGATCGTCTCCTCATGGGAAGCATGGTAACAGGAATTCCAACAGCTATGGTATTCCAGAACCTGCACATGCTTATGCTCAACCTCAGACCACAAGTCCCCTTCCCTCTGTATCCAGTACACCTGGAGCAGTGATCAGTCCTCTGCCATCAACACAGAATGGACCGGTCTATGCCAAAGCTATTCAAAAAAGAGTTCCATGTGCTTATGACAAGACTGCCTTGGCATTAGAGGTAAGATTTTTCTCAAGTTCTAAATTTCTAACATTTTTCAATAGTTAATTTTTTTTTTAATAAAATAAGTATAACTTGATTGAAATGGTGGCAACCTGATTATGTAATTTATTTGAGCCATTCATGTGGGTGGTTATCTTGAATAAATTGTTCTTTGCTTGACTCTCTGACTCAAGTGACAGTCTTTCTTCATGCCAAACAGCTCGACAAAAATAATTGCTTCATGCATACCACTTCCCCTTGTAAAGTGAGTAGAGCACATATAAAGATATATTTAATTCAGACAGTTACCTTTTTATCTTTTCCACAATATGAATTGTTTCCTATATTGTTTGTAAGAATAATGGGTGTACATATCTGGTTGCTGTAAACACGTAGTTCCATCACCTCTTAGCAGCAAGGAAATAATCTGATTGGCTTGGCTTATTTCTTGCATTTGAACCCAGCTGATCCTGGGTTCTGTGGCAGCAGCTCCTTTGAAATGCTGTCTTGGGTTTCAAAGCAGCAGTGTTGCACAGCTGTGTTCTGCTGCCTCTATCAATCAAATAGTCTTTTACATCCCTAAACCACATTAGTGGTCCTTGTTGGGAGAACTACTTATAGCTTCCTCCAGAGATAATTAATACTGTTGTTAGTCATGTGTGGGTGCTAAGCATATCAGGCATACAGTCTTATCGCCTGCTCATATCTTTGTATATATTTGTTCATTGCTATTGGGCTTCAATTTCCATAGGCCTATATGGTGTTTCTGTAATTCTTGGTATGGCCTTTGGTCATATTCTAACAGTCAGAACAGTTGAATTAGTTTGCTTCTGGGTTATGTGAAACTTAGATCTTGTTTGCATTGTGATTTTCCTTGTTTATAGGCATTGGTGTAGCTGCATCACTGCAAGCCCCTACTATAGCAGTTTTGCCTATTTGTGCTCATGAAACATCAGTTTCAAGTGCCATTATTTAAGTTACACTAGTTAAAATCATGGTTTTTAGAAGCCTACCCTGTCTCATGGCAAAACTGCTTGTAGTGATAACTTGTACATACATACTTTAAATTGCTATTCGATAACTCTGATTACTTGAGATTTTCACCAGTGCTCCTGTGGAATTAATTGTCTGGGACCAATATATGGAATTGGATGATTGGCTGCCTTTCTTTTCATTCTTTTGTTGCTTCTGCCTCTTCAGATTTTGTTGCAAAGGGGACCTCTTTCTGTACAATCATTAGCTTTCAGTAAGAATTGATATTGAGGGTCACATTGGTGTAATCACTGACGTGAAGTTAGGGGGACTGTTCCACTTCTGTTAAGTCACAGTGGTTGCAGCTCTTCCATACATCTACATACAGAATCTCAGTAGGCCATTTCTTCCACTGTGTTGTGATATATTTTTATCAAGGAATTATTTAATGAACTTCATTCTGCTTGAACCCCGCCTGAAGCACTGACCAAATATGTAGGGCCTTGAAGAGGCAGAGCTTTAATAAACTAATTATCTAAGGTAATAGCAGGGGAGGGCAATATATTTTGATGGGGGTATTTCAGGAATTTTTGCACTTCTCTGTGATATTAATGAAGGAAGTTTGGGGGTATAAAGAAATTGAGGTGAGGAATGGGATTTGGGAGGAGGTATGGGTGTACAAGGTCGTTCTAGTCTGGAGGAAGGGTGCAGGATTTGGGGGAGTTGTTACCTGGGGGAAGGTTATAGGAGGGAGGTGCAGGGCCTCGGGGGGGATGGAGGGTACAGATGCAGAAGCAGGGGTGTAGGGGGTTTGGTTTACATGGTGTATGGGAGCAGATGGAGCCTGAGGTGGGGGGAGGCGTTTACCTGAGTGTCTCCTTGCCAGCAGCCCAGTTGGTTCCTCAGCCAGGGTCCCTGCCTTCCATTTCCCTGAACTAGCTATAGGATACATGTGTGGCTCTGAATTCTGAGAGTCTGAGGGGTACTTTGTATGCTGTCTGTCTTGTAAACAGGTAGTTCCCATTGGCTAGAAACCGGCCAGTGGGAGCTGCAAGAGTTTTCTGGAGGCAGAGGCAGCATGCAAAGCTCCCCCTCAAGGTTTGCAGTGATCAGAGTTGCTCTGAGCAGGGGATGTGGGCAGGACAGGCAGGTAGAGGCTACAGTGGCTTGGTAAGCTGTATCTGGCCCGTTGACTATATTTTGCCTGCCCTTGGGTAATAGTTCAATGCAAGAGTGGTCAGTAGATTACTTGCAGGCCAGATCCACCATGCTGGATGCTTTTAACCGACCATTAAATCTTTTTATTTTTTTATTTTTCTCTGAAGTGTGGATCTTGTCTATACCTTGCCCAAGAAATTTGGACTAGCAAAAAACCAGACTACTCTTGTTTTTAATGGCTCTGATAAAATGGAATCCTCTTTTTAGTAAATCAGTATGTTTATAATTGGTAGGGAAAAACAGATAATACAGGCCTGCTAAAGATGAAGTATAGGCAGTTATCTGTAGTTTAGTGTTACAGTTAGTGGGAATGCTTAGGAGAAGAAAGGTTAGCTGGCATGCTGTTTCTTAAATCAAAGTGTTTGCAGCTGAAATGCTGGCAGTACAGTTACCGTATATTCCGGCGTACAAGACGACCTCTGAAGTTAAAAAACATCCCCCAAAAATCGGGGGGTCGTCTTGTATGC